CAATGCCAGCTACTTGGTTGTGCCATTCAGTGTATGCTGTTCCTGCCTACATCTTACACCCTGCCACTATGTGTTAGACTGTCTCTGAGGCCTCTCCATATAGTCTGCACCTTGGGTCCTGTCTAGTGTGGTAAACCCCTGCTTCTATGGATCTGGTGCTTAGTGCCTATTCTTATGCTGCTATGATCAGTCCCTCACTGCTGTTTTTTAGTCCAGCCCTTTCCAGCCACTGATAGGATTTCCCAATGTCAGCCACCTCAGCTATCGGTTGCTGGTACATCCCATGCAGGGTCTTGTCTTGCCACAGCACTTCCTCTGCTTGAACTTCCTCCCATGTCTGCTGCTCCCTCAGGTATTCTCTCAGCAGCTCACCTTTGGGTGCATCTTACTGATGTACTCCTGGATGCTCTGGGTTTCATCCAAGACACTGGCTTTGACACTCACCAGACCCCAACCACCCTCTTTCCGACTGGTATACAGTCTCCAGGTGTTGGACTTGGGGTGGAAACCTCTGTACATTGTGAGGAGCTTCCAGAGCTTCCAGGTCTTCATATCAGCAGCCTCCATGTTCTCCTTTAGCCAGCTCACTATACTGGCAGGGTATCTGATGACTGGCAGGGCATATGTGTTGATGGCATGGATCTTGTTCTTCCCATTGAGCTGGCTCATCAGGATCTATCTTATCCTTTGGTGATACTTGGATGTTGCTGTCTTCCTTGCCTCCTCCTCATGGTTCCCATGTAACTATGGGATACCAAGGTATTTGCAGTTGGTCTCTATGTCTGCTATGTGGCCTGCTGGTAGTTCCACTCCATCAGTCTTAACTACCTTCCCTCTCTTTACTACCATCCAGCCACACTTCTCCAGTCCAAATAACATCCCAATGTCCCCACTGAAGATCCGTGTCAGGTGGATCAGCGAGTCAATGTTTCATTCATTCTTAACATACAACTTGATGTTATCCATGTGGAGGAAGTGGCTGATGGTAGATCCACTCTTGAACTTGTACCCGTATCCAGTCCTTGTGATTATCTGGCTGAGGGAGTTTAAGCCTATGCAGAGCAGCAGTGTGGATAGTGCATAACCTTGGTATATGCCACACTTGATGGCCACTTGTGCAAGCTGTCTTGAGTTGACTTCCAGTGTTGTCTTCCACAGTCCCATTGAGTTCTTGAGGAAGGTCCTTAGTGGCCTGTTGACTTTGTATATTGCCAGGTATTCACAGATCCATGTGTGTGGCATTGTCGTAGGCTTTCCTGTAGTCAATCCAGGCTGTGCTCAGATTGGTCTGCCTAGACCTTGAGTCTCAGGCGACTGCTCTATGAACAACTGGTGTTTTGAGCCTCTGGTGTTGTTCCCAATGCCCTTCTGAGCTGTGCTCATGTACTGGTCCATATGGTCCTATAGCTTGGCAGCAATGATGCCTGATAAGACTTTCCATGTTTTGGGGAGGCAGGTTATTGGCCAGTAGTTGGACAATGCTGTTCCCTTGTGGGGGTCTTTCATGATCAGCACTGTCCTTCCCTGAGTTAGCCAGTCTGGGTGGGAGCTTGCTGCTAGCAGCTGGTTCATCTGTGCTGCTAAGCGTTCACTCACTGCTGTTAGTTTCTTTCGCCAGTAGGTGTGGATCATGTCTGGGCAGGTGCTGTCCAGTTCTTCATGTTCTTGACCTGCTGCTGGATGTCTGCTACTGTGATGGTGACTTGTTCCTGTTCCGGGACATTGCTGTGGTCTGCTCTCAGGTCCTGCAGCCACTTTGCATTGGTGTTAGCATCTTCTCTTTCTCCCATATGTTCTTCCAGTACTATTCAGTTTCTGCTGTTGATGCCTCTGTTTTTACTGTGTTGTTGCATTGCAGTTGGGAGTACACCTTGGGTGGTTCTTTGGAGAACAGGGCATTTATCTTCTTGGCATCTGCTTCTCTAGTATATCTCCTTAGCCTGGCAGCCAGTGCTGTAAGCCTTTGTTTAGCAGTCTCTAGAGTCAGGCCCTTGTATTTTTTCAGTGGCCGAGTCTTATCCTTAATCTCCACACCCTTCTGTAGTCCCACCAGCTGACTAACTTCTCTCCGAGTTGCCTTGATTTTAGCCTCCAACCTCATTTTCCGGGGGGGGGGGGCGGTATGCACTGCTGTTCTTCTTGATTGTGTAGCCAAGCATCTCCAAGATTGCAGAGGCTGCTGTAGCATATACCAGTTCATTGGTTTGAGTTATGGTGGTAGTAGGGATTGTCATGAAGGCTCTATTGACCTCTTCTAGCATACTATCTGATGGTACTTCTCCACCGAGCCTTGGTAATTGGTCTCAAGGGTTGACTGTAGCTAGTGTATACATGATCTTATGCCTCATATCAGCTGCTGTGCTCTGCAATGGAGGGGGTGGCAGTTACACTCAGCTTCAGGTGTTGGCTGCACATCCAGTTGTTCTGTGTCTTTTTGAGTCTGGGATGTAATGTTTAGTTGGTCAATCTCAAGTTGTGAGAGCAGCTTCCTCTTCACTATGTTGAAGCGTTGGGTAACTAGGTGTTTCTGTTAGCATGGATGTAGGTCTTCTGTCCATCCATAGTTCTCTCATATGTTTCACATAACCCCTCTTGCTAGGTCTACTGTTGCAATAGCATTCCATCAATTCCAAATTCTCTTGCCTCGTCCATGTATGGTTTGTTCCAGTAGCCCACTGATCATCAGATTGTCCTGGTTTCCCAACATCTGGTGCAGACCTTGTTAATCCAGGCAATGTCCGAGCTAGCATGACTCTCTTAGTGCATGTCACTCTCATATTTGAGGTAGGCAAATGAAGCATTAGGGGGTCTTTGCCCAAGGACCCCTACTGGTAAGGCAGGTACCAGCTGGGATTCAAACCCCAGTCTCCCGCGTTAAAGGGTGGTGATAAGGTACACTAGCCAGCCGCTCATATACACACATATATGAAACACACACACACACACACACACACACACACTTAAATAGTATTAAAAACTAGTGTTCTATTAAGATATGTTAATTATATTTTAATGATAATTATGTTAATTATGCTTTATGTATGTGTATATGTATGTGTGTGTGTGCGCGTACACACACACACATATCAGCCATTTTTTAGTTTCTCCAAAAGATAGTAGAATTGAAAAACAATACAGAAATATAGGCTGTAAAGACATTTATGAAAAA